ATATATTGGCAGGTTGTTGACATATTCATTATACCATTTGTTACTTTATAATATCTGTATTTCGATTTGTCGTTTTGGTTGAGTGCAATGCCTTTTGCTACGGCGAATAAATTTTGCGGCGCGGCACATACGCTGCGATAAAAGGGAGGAGGAATGAGAGGGGCGGGTTGAGAACGAGGCTGTGGGAGTGTCATGGGCCCGTATACATATATATCTGTTGCTATATTATATCTACGTATATATATTTATCCATTTATTTATATATATGCAAGATGTCTCCCTCGAAATTATTGTCGTTCTTTTTATTTATATTTATTTTTTGACCAATTCAAAGTCGATATTTTTACAAAATAAATTTCTCTATTAAATCCTTCTTAGTAAGCTTAACGCAATTAGTATTAAATATCTTTATAACTTATTCTTACGATAAAAAAATTCTCTTTACGAATTCTTTAAAAATTCTTCTTTAAGAAAGTCCATTTGAAAATAATTATCGAATTATCTTTCATCATTTATTTTTTGAGATCTACTTTGCTGTAAATTTCTTGTTTTTGTTCCTCGATTAGTATTAAAATGATTCATCTATTTATGATAATAATTAATATTTCCATTCGCTTCTCTGAACTGGTCAAAAAATTCATATGTGGAAAGAATGACGATAGTTCGAGAACACCCTGTATACATATATATATTTATACATCGCTGTACACTCGAATAGTTTGTCATACATGTGCCTGGGGTGCGCGGCGCGCCAAACAAAAATGAGCGTCAACTTCTTGTGAATACCGTCTTGTGTGCTACCGAGAAGCGTAGCTTCTCGCCACGCCGAAGACACTTTCTCCTCCGAATGAATGGAATTTATGAATTAAACACTGAAGGAAAGAAAGATAGAGAGAAAGAGAGAGAGAGAGAGAGAGAATAGAGAGACAGAGAGAGAGAGAGAGGAGGAGAGGAGGAGAGAGAGAGAGAGAGAGAGAGAGAGAGAGAGAGAGAGAGAGAGAGAGAGAGAGAGGAGAGAGAGATAGAGAGAGAGAGAGAAAGATAGAGAGAAAGAAATATAGAAAGAGAGAGAGTCGGAGATGAGTCTTTCCCGCGGGGGTACAGAGCGCCGGAGGGAAGACAAGAAGTTGATGTTCTTGTTTGTTTGGTTGCAGGAGTTGATGGGTGTGGATGAGCGGGTGTTTGCGTGCATGTACTGCGGTGCCTCGTTCCTCCACCAGAGCAAGCTGACGCGGCACATCCTCTCGCACAGCCTCGAGTCGCTCAAGTACCGCGAGCAGGCGGCCCACCTGCAGCTGCAGGCTCAGCTGGGCCTCGAACCCGGCATGCACCTGCCGCCGGAGGCACACTACCCCGCCGCGGGTACGATTGAGCCGATGGACTTCGAGCTCGCGGCCCACTCGGACCCGACCTCCGGCGTCGTCCTCTGCAAGTTCTGCGGCAAGTCCTTCCCGGACGTTGGCTCACTGATCGCCCATCTACCGGCGCACACCGGCGACCGGCCGTTCAAATGCGAGTTCTGCGGTAAGGCGTTCAAACTGCGCCACCACATGAAGGACCACTGTCGTGTGCACACCGGCGAACGGCCGTTCCGGTGTACACTGTGTGGCAAGACCTTTTCGAGGTCGACGATACTCAAGGCCCATGAAAAGACACATTACCCGAAGTATGTGCGCAAGTTCCTGTCCCCGAGCCCCGTGGACCCCTCCGAGGAAGAGGCCCCGCCGCCGCCACCGCCGCATCATTGAGTTCGCCTTAGCCTCAGCAGCAAAGACCGCCGTCATGCCGCCGCCGCCGCCGCCGCCGCCGTCACCACCGCTGCCGCCGCCGCTGCCGCCGCTACCACCGCCGCTACCGCCACCGCCGTTGTCGCCGCCACCGTTGACGTTGACGACGACGACGACGACGATGACGTTGACGATGACGATCACCGTACGGGACGTCCTGCTGATTCACGACGCATCCACGTTGTCGTCGTTGCCGATCGCGCGAACGAACCGACAACGACAATGGTGGTGCCGTTCCCGGTTCCAATGTCGCCGTCGCCGCTGTCGCCGCCGCCGCCGCCGCCGCCGTTACCGCGACGCGTTCCTCCTTCGACATTGTCCCGCATCCGCACATTCAGCCCCGCTTCCGCCCCTCACATTCTCCAATTCTCTACTGGTACCACTCATCTCCTCTCGTCCACCTGCTGATCGCGCGCGTCGCGACGCGCGCGATTTCCCGCGTCAACGGTCTCAATAATCGAGCGACGGGGCAAGAAGCCGGCGGTGTTTCTAGTTAGTCCTGTGATTTTGGTTAGGATGGTTGGTAAACGCGTGTTCAGGGGGAGGGACACGTTAATAACGAGCTCCCTCGTTTAATCAGTGCTTTAAGACGAAACGTTTAGCTTATTATATACATATATAAATATATATATAGATATATATATTATAAATTATACGTATATATATATCGATAAATTAATATAAGTATATATATACATATATATATATATACACACACACACACACACACACACATGTACACACACACATACACACACATACATTTATACGAGCGAGATGGGATTAATTAAAGAAAAGATAAGGAAGGATGAGGGAAGTGAGCAAAGCGACACGGAACGAGAAGGGTAAATGGGGAAAGGGCGAGGGGGAGGGGATTGTAGCCGCCACGGTTGGTGCTTTTAAGAGATTTTGATAAAATGCTGTGAATATTATATTGATTACGATTAACTATAAACTATTGTAATAATGTACTGACGTTGTACGATGTACGATGCGACTGTTGTTGATATGATTGAGAATATTTTATACAGTTGACACGGGGGGGGGGGTTGAGTATAAAACGCGCGCACGCCGATGATAAAGATATGACCGGAAGTCGGGTGGGAGGGATGGGTGGGTGGGGAATAGGGAGGGGTAGACTGGAAACGTCCACTTAGTGAAATTCTACGCGATGCAATTCGACTCGGTGGACACGCGATTTATAAATTCGTAATAGGAAAAAGTGAGAAAGAGAGAAAGACAGAAAAAAAAGAAAGAGAGAATTTATTACGAGTGCGCTGGTGGATTAATGGCCTCTTCGATTAACTCTTGTTCCTCATTTCTCTCTAAGAAATCGACATCATCTTTCTTCGCGAGTCGACGGATGATCGTGAATACGTTCCGTTACGACATCGCGTACCCCTCGCAATGAGCACGCCGATCGAATCCCTCGCACCCCTCGCCTCGCATATGTCGAAAAGTTCTACGCTCAGTTTTGCCCGCGAAAGGTACTTTCCGTCTTTCTGCGAATTCCCACACGTAAACTTGTCTCGCTGCAACGAGATTCGGGAAGAAATCGAGCACACGATTCTTCCATCGCGAGGCCTCTCGAACATCGTTTCCGGCACAATGTTTCCCGCTTGCAGATTGAAAGTCGCGACAAGTACGCGACGACGCGATGGCCATTGAGACAGTGCAATACCTGACTACGCGACAAACCACTATGCTATTTTCTTTTTTTTTTTTTATTTGTAGTTTTATTCTTATTTAATGTTACTTATATTCTTAAGTAAGATAGTTAGATAATCGAATCGCGTGTTGAGATTCGATCTCCGAGCGACGTCCACCTTTCGTTTCACTCGCGAGCTCGTTTTTATTTATTTATAGCCCTCGGTCGAACGGGGAGACTCGGACATGCGTGCTCTCGGAGAAAATACGATGAGGATATGGATTTCATCTTCACGGCACAATTCGTCCCACAATGGTATATATCATATGGAATATCAAAGTTAAACGCGAAATCAAATGCGACATGATATATACACGAATCTCTGCAATAGAGATATCAATATGATACAGAATGCTGGAGCAATAAGTGTGTTCCCTAAACATTTTTGATAAAATACCAAATCAAGTTATCACCTTTATCAGTTTTTAATGAAAAATCTCTCGATAATCAGAAATGTTTAAACTATTAATTTATCGAAATTTTTTTACATCTTTTTCAATCGTATATATAATTTAAATTAATAAATGTAACGATAGATAAAATCATGATAGAAGCTCGAAAACTTTTCGCGAAAGGAAAATCGTTCAAGTTTTTTCACTCGCGATTGTGGTTCCTCGCGCATTGCTCTACATCTCACGCATCGTCCACATTACGCATAGTGACTCCCAACGATATCCGAGTGATACGAGAGAACCAGTATTCAAGATACAAGATACTTTTGTTTTCCTATTAGGTAAGGTAAAGTAATTAACGCGCACGCAACTGGCCCATGCGAGCTGACCGACGACTTTTTTCTTTCGGGAAACGAACGAGGCGACCGTCGGCGAGTTCGATTCCTCGAAGGCGAAGGTACAAACGCAATTCCCATTGATTTCTCCCGCCCCTCCGCCTCTTGCGGGACAATTTAATTCGGCGCGACACGCGAATGTACGAGGTTGGAAAACGGCCGCGTTTTCGCGGATCTTCGAAAGCGGTAAACACATTATCATAGCCGAGGCGACCGCATGCGATTGCAAGCGGAACGCGCAACGAGACTCTTTTTTCCTGGTCTCTTCCTTTCAAGCGATTCGATGAGCGCATTGTATATTTAGCAGCCACTTACTTTCCGTCGTCCTCCTTGCGAAGGCCTCCCCCTTCCCCTCCCGCCGAGCGAGCGGAGTCGCTCGAAATCGATCGATCTTTGAAATATTCATCGCATTCCGTGCGCGGAGGCCTGCGAAATGGCACCGAAGGAATCGCCGCGGGGGAACAGGAAGGCATCGACGGGGCCGATATATGCACGAGTCGATTTCGGTCTCCTTCGAATCGCCATGGATAGATAATCTCTTTAATGGTTGGCTCTAGAATATGAGCATCTCCGATAGACGTGACGGGAAAGTTTTATCTCAGTCCGCGTCCTGTACCGTATGCGCGAAGGGTTGTTTTCGACATTGTAAATCTTGCGCCGGGTTATTTTTTTTTGGTGATTTAATTTTAACGGTGTTTAAATTCTCATCCGAAACCATCTCTTCAATTATTGGATATTGTTTTAACCATTGGAGGACGCATGAGAATCTAAAACTATTATAGCGCTTTAGTAGTCCTCATTTAATGCCGGATTTAGTGCGCTGGGTGTTTACATTTTATTCATCTTCAATATCCCGGGTCGGCAACGCGACGCGCAGGGCGCAGTGGGTAGCGAAATAATTTTATCTAGAGCTGTGATGACTATACGAATTGTTCTTTTATTCGAACGCGCGATTTTTATTTTTCGCGTGCTCCTCCACGATTCGCAAGTATCGGACGCTTTACTCTTTATTTTGAATTTGACCGCGTCTACGTCTCCAGTGGTGATCACGATCTCTGCGATTTCTGTGATATTTCGCGATCGCATCCGCTATTTTACTAGCACGCAATGCACTTGTTACTTATCGTCTTACATTCCATCGCTGTCTTAGTTTTTAATTTCGGAGGTATAGATATGCTCTGATCTTTTTTCACGTTTGACCCTCGAGGGTTGCGGGTTTTACACGCGTGTGATTTAATTGTGATCTCTAGAGCGGCGTTAAACTTAATGTTAACACTCGGTCGTTCCGAGTTTTATTAGAAATTGTTTGCCTTAGCGAAAAAACGCGCATTTCACCTTCTGCGCTTTACTTAAATCCTTCAAATGCGCAGCACGATTCACCGCATGGAAGACGTAAACGCGAACGGAAATGCATCCATGAAATACTTCCGTATTTTAAGTGAAAATTTTATTCTGTTGTACAAAATATAAACCTTTGATTATTTATTCGAAATCTAAATTCAAAAGCTTGATTTATTTTGCACCCGTGTTATAACAAAAAAAGAAAAAAATAGCGTCCAAAGTATTGCGCGCATCTATGGCGCGAATTAATTCGTTCGTTTCGACGGAACAGAAGGATGAGATTTTCATTCTACCAGCCATACACGTAAATCCTGTCGGTCCCGAAAGCGCATAGCTTTAATTAGAATATTCGTCCGGCAAATCGGCATTCCTCTGAAAACGGGATTTTAATTAATATTTACGAGTGACGGTGCCGTTAATGACTGGCAACCCGTGAGGGTACATTGAAATGAAAGTCCCGCCGCGATTCTGAACGAGCCTGATTAGAGTTGGCGTTTGGCAAATGGATCATAAAGTTTCCAAATACCGTATCAAAAATGCTGTCAGCGGCTTGTAAATTCCGGAATACGATTAATTAAATCCTTGCGCAACAAACACGGACGTTACACAACGGACGGCGACGTGTCCGTCCGTCCATCCACTCGCGGTATTAAAATAATGATATCGCGAATTAAACATTCGACGTTCTCTCTCTCCATAAGCTCGCAACTGTATCCTCGAGACTCGAATACAGCGGCCATTTTCTATCGTCGTACGCGATTCGATTCGCGAGTACTTCGTGTCCCGACGTCATTCCGCATTCACATATTCGTTCATTAGCTTATTCGGTCAGTCCTGTTTTGCGACATAAATTAAATCCGGCCAAATGGAATGAGAAACTCTCGCATAGAATACGATCTCGCAACTGCCGATCGAAAGATAAAGATAGTAATTAGAAAACCAGAATTACTCAATCAATGAATTTTTATGTCACGCAAAAGCGTCGCCGAAAAAGATTTAATTTCACAGAAGAGATCGCGCGATAGGACTGAAAGAATAAGTAAATGTTTTATATTTTAGAAGTATATCCGCATCTCTAATTGGATGTTGTTTCTCAAAGAAGATCGACGATCTTTCGAACGCATATTTTACGTTCCTTTTTCATCTTATTTTATCCGCGCCAT